GCTCATCCCTCATAAGAAGGTAAGGATCAGAAGCAGGCAGCGTCTCCCGGCGCCGCCCACCGGTTCTCACGTCTCCGTTCTGATGATCAACGTCTCGGTTTTGTTCCAGTTCACGTTTGCCAAGATTTGGCTGCTCTTTGCTCAGTTTGAGGTCCGACAGAAGAACCTTCCAGGAGCCAGAAAGATCATGGTAAGTATTAACCCCCCTGATCTGAACACGAACCTGTAAAGTGGACCAGAACCGACCGGAATCATATCCCAGATTCCCCGTTTGGATTTGGAGCTGGGCTTTGACTAGGACGTTCTAACAGCAGCCTGTTTTAAAGATGATGCTGCTTTGAAAATATGTTTAAAGTTGTACAGAACCAACAGCAGGGCCTTACTGGATCCAGCAGAACTCTGTAGAACTCAGATAGCGGTTAGCATAACTAAGTTTGGAACCAGTTAGGTCCGAGTGGATTGGTACTGGTACCACTCCACCAGTGGTTCCTGTACCGGTTTACGGTTCCAGATCTGATTGGACCCTCAGCAGAAATCTGGACCTCCATGTCTGTAGAATGTTCTATAGCACAGAGGGACGGGTTCAGGACGCGGCGCTGGTCCGGACCGGTCCGTTTGTAACGATGCTGTGGTCTGTCGTTGCCAGGGCACGGGGATCGGGAAATGTCCGAAGAACAAGCTGCTGAAGGGTTACATCGAGCTGGAGCTGCAGCTGCGCGAGTTCGACCGCTGCAGGAAGCTCTACGAGAAATACCTGGAGTTCAGCCCGGAAAACTGCACCACCTGGATCAAGTTCGCCGAGCTGGAGACCATCCTGGGCGACGTCGAGAGAGCCCGCGCCATCTTTGAGCTGGCCATCAGTCAGCCCCGACTGGACATGCCCGAGGTTTGACTTAACCTGACCTCAGATTAATCGCAGATCAGGGGCCTCGTGCAGGAACCGCGACTCGGCAGATCAGGGGCTTCATGCAGGAACCACGACTCGGCAGATCAGGGGCCTAATGCTGGAACCGCGACTCGGCAGATCAGGGACCGCATGCAGGAACCACGACTCTGCAGATCAGGGACCGCATGCAGGAACCGCGACTCGGCAGATCAGGGGCTTCATGCAGGAACCACGACTCGGCAGATCAGGGGCTTCATGCAGGAACCACGACTCGGCAGATCAGGGGCCTCGTGCAGGGACCACGACTCGGCAGATCAGGGGCCTCGTGCGGGGACCGCGACTCAGCAGATCAGGGGCCTCGTGCAGGGACCGCGACTCGGCAGATCAGGGGCCTCGTGCGGGAACCGCGACTCGGCAGATCAGGGGCCTCGTGCAGGGACCGCGACTCGGCAGATCAGGGGCCTCGTGCGGGAACCGCGACTCGGCAGATCAGGGGCCTCGTGCGGGAACCGCGACTCGGCAGATCAGGGGCC